TCAGTTCTAATGAGGTGGATGAAACTGGAGCCTATTATACAGAGTGAAGTAAGTCAGAAAGAAAAACACCAATACAGTATATTAATGCATATATATGGAATTTAGAAAGATGGTAACGATGACCCTATATGCGAGACAGCAGAAGAGACACAGATGTAAAGAATAGACTTTTGGACTCTGTGGGAGAAGGTGAGGGTGGGATGATTTGAGAGAACAGCATTGAAACATGTATACTATCATATAAGAAACAGATCACCAGTCCAGGTTCGATGCATGAGGCAGGGTGCTCAGGGCTGGTGCACTGGGATGACCCAGAGGGATAGGATGGGGAGGGAGGTGGGTTCAGGATGGGGACACATGTACACCCATGGCTGATTCATGTCAGTGTATGGCAAAAACCACCACAATATTGTAAAGTAATTAGTCTGCAATTAAAGTAAATAAATTATTATTATTTTTTTAAGTACAGATGTAGCTTCAGAGTAACTCAGATGGGTTGTGAAATAAGAAAGGGGGACAGAAGGCTGGGCTTCTCTGTCCTTGGGATTCTCCAGGGAGGAATACTGGAATGGGTTGCTATTTCCTCCTCCAGGGGATCTTCGTGACCCAGGGATGGAACCTGTGTCTAAGTCTACATTGGCAAGCAAATGCTTTACCACTGAGCCACCTGGGAAGCCCCCATGGCATTTGGGACCCACACACGTCAAGTCTGACCTCATCTTAACTTGATTCCATTTGCAAAGTCTATCTCCAAATAAGGTCACAGTCAGGGGTATCTTGAGCTAGGACCTCAATCTCTCTTTTTCTGTGGGAAACAATTCAACCTGCAAGCTCCTTAAGTGATTCTAATGAACAGCCCACTTTTAAGAACAATGGTTCTGAAACTTGAGCATACAACAGAATCACCTTGGGGCTCAAAAAATGAACAGCTGCTGAATCCAAACTCAGATTTGGATTCTTGGGCCTAAGAATTTGCATTTTTTCACAAGTTTGAAAACCAGTGGTGTAGGGGAACAGAAAGTAAAATGAATGTACACTTTGACCCTTAAACAAAGCAGGTTTGAACTGGGTCCACTTTTATGACATTTTTTCAATAGTAAGTACTACCATCCTATACAGCTTGTGGCTGGTTAAATCCACAGAATCACAGATGCAGAGGAATCTCATGAACAAAGGGCCGAGAATAAGTTATGCACACAGATTTTTGACTGCGCAGAGGGTTGGCACCTGCAACCCCTTTGCTGTTCAAGAATCAACTTTCTTTCTTTCCTTCCATTGGAGGAACAATGTAGGCATCATCTGGGAGCTGAGGAGAAATGCAGGACTTTGAGCCCAGCCCAGATTCCTGAATCCAAGACTGTATTTTAACAAGATTCCAAAGTAATTTGCACTTCCATTGAATTTTTAGATGCATTATTGTATACTATTCAAAATAAAATTGATCTTAAATCACTGGTTGAGTTAGTTAGTAAAGGGATGGCTGGATAAAGAAATAAATGTGTGCTAAGTTGCTTCAGTCGTGTCTGACTCTTCACGACCCTATGGGCTGCAGCCCCCAGCCTTCTCTTCCACGGGATTCTCTAGACAAGACACTGGAATGGGTGTCTTCCAGGGGATCTTCCTGGCCCAGGGTCAAACCCGCAGCTCTTAATGTCTCCTGCATTGGCAGGCGGGTTCTTTAACATTAGGGCAACCTATGAATGAATAATAAAAAAGATTCCCTAACTGCGTTTCTCCCAGGAGACAGAAAAGTGGTCCTTCTAAGTCCATCGATCAAGTTGTCTTAGCAACTGTGAAGACAGTGTCTCATCATCACAGTGGCTCCAAGGCAATCTTGTCTGTTGGTTCTTCAGCAATGGAGTGCTCTTGCTTACTTGGCCTTTCTCGGGCTTCAAACAAGAAATTCCATACTTTCATTTCCCTGCTTCTTCCCAGATGACCTCATCTTAACACTTTGTGGCTTCTCTATCAGCACTTTGTCATTTGTGCCAAAATCTGAAACAGGAGGCTGGCTGGAATACACAGAAGTAGAGCACAGTGTAGATTTAGTGATGAACTGGCTTTGGGCCAGAAGGGTAGCAGGTAAGTTTCAGAGTTTCAGCTGAAGAAGAAAGAAAAGCTTTGAGAAAGCTTAGAGCCAAGTCAAAACATGCCTTATATGATTTTTTTTTTTTTTTTGGCAGATATACTGTAAAATAAGAGTAGACCAAATTCCCCAGGTAATAGTAATTGACCTATAAATGTCATTATTGATAGATTGTGTTTCTGGAAACATTGTTCTAGAGCTAAAGTACTCATGTGAATCTCAAAAAGGAATTTAGAGACAAGCTTTGAAAGTCTTTCTTTTTCTCTCCACTACTGATTTCCATTTTCCTCTTGGAGAGCTGCACTTTTTTCCCCCTCTTAAACAAGCCACACAACCAAGCTGTCACAAACAGCTGTCTTTTAGAAGGCCAATGTTTTCTTGGGGAAAAAAAGTTGCTTTTCAGAGGCCATTACCTTTTATCCCTTCATGGAGGCATTTCACATCTACAATGAATTGTTTAGTAGAAAGATTGATAGAGTTCGCATTAAAGTTTGCTTTTTTTAACTTGACAGTTTGAGGAAGAGTTGATATTTCATTTTAATAAAATGGGTATTGTCTGGAAAGGCACAGTCTGATTTCAGGAAGCAATGCTATACACGTGATACCTCCTGTCACATGGCTTAAGGAGTATTCCTTTAATGTTTTGTTGCCTCTTTCTCCTCTTCTGTAAAATAATCTGTCTCCCAGATGTCTGTTGGAAAGAACGAGGACACACATCTCATAACCAAGAAAAAAATCTCTCATGTCTTTAGCCACATGATATAGGTACATTTCTGTAATCACCGCTTAATTTAACTTAAATTTTCTTTTCTTTTTGGTCTGAACTTATGAAAATCAGTTTCCACATTCTAAATGTTCAGTTAACGCATATAAGGTTGTTTTCTTTTTTTTTCCTGTCTGAAATTAACCAGTTATACACATTAGCAGCTCTGGAATAAAGAACACATCAACAACTCTAGGTATTTCTTTATCTGCCCACAATGAGAAATGTTGCCTACCTAAATCCAGGATGAAAAAATTCTCCTTCTCGCTGTCATATATTCTGCTAGTAAATTGCTGAATCACTGTGTGTGGCAGCCGAGTTCAGCTCTTGGGCATGCCTCTTAGAGAACTGTCAGGGGCACCCAAGGTCCCTCTGCTATTTCTAGATGACAGGAATAGCAAAGCAGCCTGATGTCATACTCTCAACAGCTATGTGAGTATGTGTGTGTATGAGAGAGAAATTATTTTCTTCCTCTTTATTAAAGCTGGTAGAGACTGTATCTCTGCATATTTATGCAAATCACAGTTTGTACAATTGGAGCATAAGGTAAGGATCTTAAGAAATCTTGTAATATGACTCTAAATGGTAGTGTGGTAAAGTGTAGGCAGCCCTGGATAGGAGTCAGGGGAGTTGGGTCCTGTCTCACTGAGGTACATAAACTATAAGTCACTTTCTAAGACTAAGGTGAGTAAAAATTTGATACTTAAAATTTCCCTTCTCTCACTTTAAAATTAAACCACAATTTGCAGGCTAACTCTACTTTTAAAAATTCTTGTTGGGAGTAGTACAACATTCTGGTAATAATGCTTTATTGATTTCTAGTTCTGCTACCATTTTTGTCTTCCTCAAATTGAAATAAGTCTCTTTAATCCATCTTTGAAAAAGTCTTCTGTAACCCCTTAATTATTATCCTTTAGAGCGAGACATAATAACATAGTAAAGAGCTGATGAACACTCAATAAAACTGTAGATTATTTTATAGGTCAAGAGTATTAGCTCTACAAGAGAAGAAACCAACTTAAATGCTGGAAAAGGCCGCCTGGATTTGACTGAATATTTTACTAGTAATGTGATACTGAGCAAGTTACATAAATTCTTGGAGTATTAATTTCTTCTTCCCTAATAGACCCTACACTATAGGGTCATTGTAAGAATGAAATGTTGTAAAACATGTAAAGTTTTTAGCATGGTGCTTGATATGTAGTAAATGTTTGTGACTTACACTGAAATACTATCTAGTGAAATGGTTCTTAAAATGCTTGCCAGCTGGGTCCTAAAATTTCTGGGTTATGCAGAAATTTATTTTTTGTATTTTACTTGTTATGATGGACTTCATTAACACCTATTTGAATTTACAGTATTGGGCTCTATTTTAGTTACTGTTTATTACTGACTGATTCTTTCAAATAACGTGTTACAGTCCTTAAAGCTTTTTGGCTTCACTGATATGTCATCAGCCTCCCCAGTCCTCCAATTCTTTGTCAGAAGATATGACTGCTTTTTTTTTTTTAATTTTTTTTCCATTTATTTTTATTAGTTGGAGGCTAATTAGTTTACAATATTGTAGTGGTTTTTGTCATACACTGACATGAATCAGCCATAGATTTACATGCATTCCCCATCCCGATCCCCCCTCCCACCTCCTTCTCCACCCGATCCCTCTGGGTCTTCCCAGTGCACCAGGCCCAAGCACCTGTCTCATGCATCCAGCCTGAGCTGGTGATCTGTTTCACCCTAGATAATATACATGTTTTGATGCTGTTCTCTCAAAACATCCCACCTTTACCTTCTCCCACAGAGTCCAAAAGTCTGTTCTGTACATCTGTGTCTCTTTTTCTGTTTTGCATATAGGGTTATTGTTACCATCTTTCTAAATTCCATATACATTCATCATACAGAGTGAAGTAAGCCAGAAAGATAAAGACCAATACAGTATACGAATGCTTTTTTTTAACACAAAATTATCTTTAAAAATTTTTTAAAGATTTATTTATATATATATTTTTTGGCTACGCTGAGTCTTCATTGCTGCACATGGGCTTTCTCTAGTTGCAGAGAGCATGGGCTACTCTTCGTTGCGGTGTGTGGCCATCTCATTGCAGTGGCTTCTTGCAGAGCAGAGACTCTAGGGTGCGTGGGCTTCAGCAGCTAACACAGGCTTCAGTAGTTGCAATGCTTGGGCTCGGCAGTTGTGACTCCTGGTCTCTAGAGCACAGGCTTGACAGTTGTGGTACATGGGCTTAGTTGCTCTGTAGCATGCGGGATCTTCCTGGAGCAGGGATCCAACCCATATCCTCTGCATTGTCAGGCAGACTCTCAGCTACTAGACCACCAGGGAGGCCCATGACTGCTTTTGAAAAAACAAATTTCAAAAGAAGGTCTATTTCCAACAATCAACCCCTCTAGCTGAGAAAATAGAATTTAGATGTGGAAAATTCATTTTTAAAAAAAAGAAGATAAGAGAACATTGTAAGAAAACTTTCACAGTAGGAAGATAAAGCAATTTTCTGAATTATTTAGGGAGAAAATCTACTTTTTATTAAGTTATATGAAGATGTCATGTTTAAATACCCTTCATCTGTTGGCTTTGAATATCCAGTTTACTTACTGAAGGCAAAAAAGAAAAAATTCTTTGATGTTGGGGAAATTTTGCAAATGCTAGAGCAATTGAAAGACATGTTCTCATTATTTTCTATTTTCTTCTGCTGTCTCTACAGTGTATGTCTCAATACGCTATGGTTAATTATCTAGAATATCTCTTAAAATCTCCAAAGGCCATTGTAGATAATGGACTGATTATGTATTGTGAAAGTTCATAGGTTTTTTTTTGAATCTTTGGAAAGAATTATTGTTTCCTTTAATCCAACTGCAGTTTGTACTCTAAAAACACAGTATGCTATTTATATACTCTAGGATGGGCTTCTCTGGCGGCTCAGACATAAAGAATCTGCCTTCAGTGTAGGAGAGACCCAGGGTCGATCCCTGGGTTGGGAATATTCCCCTGGAGAAGGAAATGGCTACCCACTCCAGTATTCTTGCTTGGAGAATTCCATGGACTGAGGAAACTGGTGGGCTACAGTCCATGGGGTCACAAAGAGTTGGACACGACTGAATGACCAACACTTTCACTTTCATACTCTGAGATGAATAAAAGTTTATTATTGTCATGATAATGGTAACTGTTAAGCTATTAAACTCAACAATAACACACGTGGAAAATTAATAAGGTTTTTGACTATGGGGTTTCAAAGCATTTGTTGAAATAAGAAGGAAACAACTTTTCATATCTGAAATTTAAACGGAAAATTCCTGATTCAAGTTATATCTATCATGATTTTCAAGATAGTATGATGACTGCAGAGAAAAATTGAAGATGACTACAACAGGAAACTGGCTAAGTATTGATTAAACCAAGATGACCACTCATGATGTAATGCCTCTAAGTAAAACTTATTAGAAACAGTAAAATGGAGAAAAAAAAAGAAACAGTAAAATGGAAGACTGATGGAAAATAGACAAATGAATTTATCATTAGAAATATAACTGTCAAAGGGACTAGATATTTATTTTGTCTGGGTAGTTTTTCTCTTTTCTAATACAAGGATTTAATGCTATAAATGTCCTTCTCAGCTCTGATTTAGCTGCATTCCATGAATTTTGGTATGTTTTATACTCATTTTCATCCACTTCCATGTGTTTTTAAGTTTCCTTTGAGATTTCTTTTCTGACCTATGGATTGTTGAGAACCGTGGTGTTTAATTTCCAAGTGTTTGTTAAGAGGGCAGATCTCATGTCAAGTGTTCTTAACACATACACATACACACACACACACACACACACACACAGCCAAAGGAACACAAGGAAACTTTGGGAGGTGTTGGATATGTCCTTTACCTTGATTGTGGTGATGGTGTCAGGGGTCTTTGTCTATGTGAAACTTATCAAACTGTGCACATTAAATTGGTATAATTCTTTGTATATGAATTATACTTTAATAAAGCTATTAAAATGATTTCATTTGAGTCTAATCAACTCCATTCTGTAATGATTTTACTAATTAGTTTCATTTTGATGTTGTTTTACATAGTCTTATTTGCTCATCAGTGATACTGGCATAGCAAAAGATTAGAAAAAGTTTAAAAGAGCACAACTATTTCTAGGTATTAAACTGACAGATTAATATTAAAGACAAGAGCATTTACTTCGGATTACTTATAGGAATAATAGATGTAAGTGATTAGATTTGTTGTTATGCCAAAAAGCAGGAAAGATTATTGTTCCAATAATATAGCTCTGCCAACTTTAACTTGTTCACCCTTCAAATTAGTTTAATTATTAAGACCATTATTGATTACAGAAACAACTTGACCAAATAATTTATTCAGTAAATATCAGTTCAACAAATATTGACAGATACCCTGCCACTCAATAGGTTCTAATCTGCTGTAAGAAAAATAGTCCTTTTTATGGAATGAATCTTACTATCTGCATTGTTTTTCTGAATCACTTTCTCATTTGTTCCATTAATAGAGTAATGGTCCATTTAGCCTCGGTCAAGCCTAAATAGACTATGAGATCTCAGCTTCTTTCCTGGTAGAAAACTGAAGTCTTGTGTCATAGTGGCAAGTGTGTGATCAGGAAGCCTCCCTGACAGCTGGAAGTGCTATGTGTAATAAACACAGTCCAGCCTTCCCTCTTGAGATCAGTGAATTAGGGAAGCTGGAGGGTGTAGCATGACAATTACCCAGCCACATCAGCGTTTATGTGTTGTTATTTCATTTCCATGCCCCTCAGCCTCTTAAACTTTACCTAAAGCAATTATTATTTAATCTGAATTATTGCTTATACAATTGACAAGATTAATTTTTCAGAGGCAGCATCCATACCTGTATTATATTTATGAGAAAGTTCTAAGGGTGGCTTTAAAATACCACACATATCTTAACACTGGGGAACCTTGTTCAATTGAAATACAGTCACCTTTAATGTGTTTAAAATCAGTCCAGATTTTTACATCTATTTGACACAGAAATTTTAGAGTTACTATATAATAGATCATTATGCAGTATTTACCCCTGGAGCAGGGCATGGCAACCCACTCCAATATTCTTGCCTGGAGAATCCCATGGACAGAGGATCCTGGCGGGCTATGGTTCATAGGGTTGCAAAAAGTTGGACAAGACTGAAGTGACTTAGCATAGCACAGCACAGGATCCATATTTCAAAAAGTGGAACTGATTGGAGGTGGAAGAATTACTTATCAGTCATGATGCAGATGTTATAGGTTTAATAAGTCTCTCAGACTATCTGAAGCTGGAGAATTCTGGAACCCTAGCAAACTATTTCATTTTGTTCTCTGTGGCTCATAAACCAAGACTGGCGTCTCTTTGGGCCGGTTTTGGAATACTATGCAATCGGAGCCTCATAAGGAACAACACACAACTTCATACTACGGCAGCCCTGGCACCCAAGGGTGGCCCTTGATTGCCAGTGTCCAAGCTGATTCTTTAGGTCCAGGGTTCTAAGGAAAAACTTGGTCCAACTAA